GTCTTCAGGTAGGGTTTAGGGTTTAGGGTCTAGGGCTTAGGATTTAGGGTTTAGGGTTTAGGGTTTAGCGTTTTGGGTTGCGGAGGGTGGAGGGGACGGAGAGGCAGCCTTGGGCTGCCAGCAGCGGCAGCATAACCGCTGCAGCAGCAGCCGCAGCAGCAGCAGCCGCAGCCGCAGCCGCAGCAGCCGCAGCCGCAGCAGCAGCAGCCGCAGCCGCAGCAGCAGCAGCCGCAACAGCAGCAGCAGCGGCAGCGGCAGCCGCAGCAGCCGCAGCAGCAGCAGCAGCAACATTCTTATTTTCTGTTTTCAGGGAAACCCTAAAGCAGCTGAGCAGCAGAAACTTTGCCGAGAACCGACAGTTCTTGGCTTCTGTGAAATTCTTTGAAATGTTGACGGAGGCCCAGAAGAATGTGGTATGTACAAGGGTTTAGGGTTTAGGGTTTAGGGTTTGGGCATATACGCTGCGTAAGGTGCGTTGCGGGGGAGCGCGTTCAGTCAGCGCCTACGCCTTTGAATGGCTCGGGGCGCCCCAGCTTCAGGCCTTAGGCCTTAGGGTTTAGGGTTTAGGGTTTAGGGTTTAGGGTTTAGGGTTTAGGGTTTAGGGTTTGCGCGCAGATAACCAACGCGCTGGTGGTGCAGTCTTTCCAGCCCGGCCAGGCAATTGTTAAGGAAGGAGAAAAAGGAGATGTTCTTTACATTTTAAAAAGTGGCAAAGCCCTCGTGTCCATCAAAAACAAAGAAGTCCGGGTTCTCCAGGTAGGGTTTAGGGTTTAGGGTTTAGGGTTTAGGGTTTGGGTTTGGGGTTTGGGGTTTGGGGGCGGCTCTCCGCAAGGGGCGATCGAGCTGCAGGGGATGCCCAGGCTTTGCTGCTGCAGCTTAGATTGTTTGCTGCTGCAGCAGCAGGAGCTGCTGCTGCGGCTGCTGCTGCTGTTGCTGCTGCTGCTGCTGCGGATGGCGTGCTGCGTCCGTTTCTTTCGCCGTCATCCCCTGCGCCGCCCTGCCTCTGCCGCTGCCGCTGCTGCTGCCGCCGCTGCTGCCGCTGCTGCTGCTGCTGCTGCTGCTGCTGCAGCGGGGAGAATACTTTGGCGAGCGGGCGCTGCTTTATGATGAACCTCGAAGTGCAACAATAACAGCAGAAGAGCCGACAGTTTGTGTCTCCATTGGCAGAGACCTTTTGGACAGGGTTTTGGGGAATCTGCAGCACGTGCTCTTCCGCAATATTATGCTCGAGGGTAAACCCTAAACCCTAAACCCTAAACCCTAGGCGCTAAACGCCGCCGCCTGGGTGGCGCCGAGCGCGCCCCCGCACGGTGCCGCCGCCCTAGCAGACGAGGGTTTAGGGATTAGGGCTTTGGGGTTTGCGCCAGGGTGGCAGCCTGCAAAGGTGGAGGGTTTAGGGTTTAGGGTTTAGGGTTTAGGGTTTGCGATGCAGCACTGCAGCAGAGCAAGGTCTTCGCCTCTTTCCCGACGGAGCAGCTGAGCCGCTTAATTGGCTCTGTAGTGGTTAAGGACTATCCCGAAAATTATATTATTTTGGATCGAGAAAACCGCACAAGGGTCCCTAAACCCTAAACCCTAAACCCTAAACCCTAGCGCAGAGCTGCAGCTGCAGTTGCCCGCAGGGGACGACGCAGACGGGTCTTGGGAGAATGGGGTTTAGAACTTACTGGGGGAGCGACAGTTCAGGCCCAGGTTTAGGGTTTAGGGTTTAGGGTTTAGGGTTTAGGGTTTAGGGTTTGGGGTGCAGGCGTCGGCGTCGGCGCTGCAGGCGTCGGCGTCGGCGCTGTTCTCGGCGCAAGGCGTGCGTTTCTTCTTCGTGTTGGAGGGAGAGGTTTCTGTGTTTGCCTACAAAGACAAGTCCAGCAGCAGCAGCAGCAGCAGCAGCAGCAGCAGCAGCAGCAGCAGCGCGGAGGGGGAAATGGAGCTGCACCTCATAGATACCCTAAAAAGGGGACAAGCTTTTGGAGACGAATATGTTTTGTCTCCCAACAAACCCTTTGCGCATTGCGTCAAGAGCAACGGGCCGACGAAGGCGAGCCAAACCCTAAACCCTAAACCCTAAACCCTAAGCCCGTCGCTGAAGGCGGCGGGCGAGCACGCGTCGAGAGTTTCGGGTGTAGGGTTTAGGGTTTCGGGTTTGGGGCGCGAGCGCCTGCGGCGCGAGGGCGAGCGCTGCCGTCCTAGGGCCTAGGGTTTAGGGTTTAGGGTTTAGGGTCTAGGGTTTAGGGTTTAGGGTTTGCGCGCAGCTCGCGCTGCTGACGGCTAGCGCGCTGACCGCCACTTTGGGGGGACAAGACATTGACGAAACCCTCGACTATAACAACAAATTAGCGATCACGAAAAAGATGTATATTTTTAGGTATTTGTCGGAGCAGCAAACGCAAACCCTAATCAAGGCCTTCAAGACCGTCAGGTAAACCCTAAACCCTAAACCCTAGACCCTCGACTGGGGCGCGGGTCGCTTTTTCCTCGGCGTCGGCCTTCGCGGCGACCCCGCAAACCCTAAATCAGGGTTTGGGGTAATTAGGGTTTAGGGTCTAGGGTTTAGGTTTTTGGGCTTGGCGTGCAGATACACTCAGGGGGAATCCATCATTCGGGAAGGCGAAATAGGGTCTCGGTTCTTCATCATCAAGCTTGTAAACCCCAAACCCTAAACCCTAGCTCCACACCCTAAACCCTAGCTCCAAACGCTAAACATTAGTTCCAAACCCTAAACCCTAAACCCTGCTTTGGAAGCCACATGGATGGAGGCCCGGGGAGCGGGGTTTCTGTTTCGTGGGTGGGGAGTCGCGGAGCGCTAGTGGGGGTGTGGCAATGAGCCAAACCCTAAATTAGGGTTTAGGGTTTGCGATTCAGGGAGAAGTGGTGATTCTGAAGGGCGAAAAGCGGGTGCGCACGCTGGGCCGTCACGACTACTTCGGCGAGAGGGCTTTGCTGCACGACGAGCGGCGGTCTGCAACAGTAGCAGCAAACAGTCCCGAGGTGGATCTGTGGGTTGTCGACAAAGATGTTTTCCTCCAAATCGTCAAAGTAAACCCTAAACCCTAAACCCTAAACCCTAAACCCTAGGTGCTACGTGGGGGACAGGGGCGGGCCGCGAAAAAAGGGGCTCGGGGGGAGGTCTGGGTCGCAGGGTGTGGACGCGGAGAGGAGGGAGGATTTAGGGTTTAGGGTTTAGGGTTTAGGGTTTAGGGTTTAGGGTTTAGGTTTGGGGGTGGATGCTTTAGGGGCCCATGCTTACCCACTTGGAGGAGCGCATTCGCATGCAAGACACCAAAGTTGAATTCAAAGACTTGAATGTTGTCCGAGTGGTCGGCAGAGGTAGGGTTTAGGGTTTAGGGTTTAGGGTTTAGGGTTTAGGATTTACGGTGTTCTGCGTGTCGGGGGAGAGCGTTGGGAGCCAGTGTACAGCTTTCGCTTCTTTGCAGTTGCCGGTGCTCGTGCGGGTTGTGGGCGCGTGTTCAGGGCTGAGGGTTTAGGGTTTAGGGTTTAGGGTTTAGGGTTTAGGGTTTGGCGTGCAGGGACGTTCGGGACTGTAAAGCTGGTGCAGCACATTCCCACGCAAATGCGCTACGCCTTAAAATGCGTTTCGAGAAAAAGTGTTGTGGCTTTAAATCAACAAGACCACATTCGACTAGAAAGAGAGATAATGGCAGAAAACGACCACCCCTTCATCATTCGCCTGGGTAGGGTTTAGGGTTTAGGGTTTAGGGTTTAGGGTTTAGGGTTTAGGGTTTGGGAGTGGGGTCGGGGCTGGCAGCTTTAAATCAACAAGACCACATTCGACTAGAAAGAGAGATAATGGCAGAAAACGACCACCCCTTCATCATTCGCCTGGGTAGGGTTTAGGGTTTAGGGTTTAGGGTTTAGGGTTTAGGGTTTAGGGTTTGGGAGTGGGGTCCGGGCTCGCAGCCTTAAATCAACAAGACCACATTCGACTAGAAAGAGAGATAATGGCAGAAAACGACCACCCCTTCATCATTCGCCTGGGTAGGGTTTAGGGTTTAGGGTTTAGGGTTTAGGGTTTAGGGTTTAGGGTTTGGGAGTGGGGTCGGGGCTGGCAGCTTTAAATCAACAAGACCACATTCGACTAGAAAGAGAGATAATGGCAGAAAACGACCACCCCTTCATCATTCGCCTGGGTAGGGTTTAGGGTTTAGGGTTTAGGGTTTAGGGTTTAGGGTTTAGGGTTTGGGAGTGGGGTCGGGGCTGGCAGCTTTAAATCATCAAGACCCCATTCGACTAGAAAGAGAGATAATGGCAGAAAGCGACCACCCCTTCATCATTCGCCTGGGTAGGGTTTAGGGTTTAGGGTTTAGGATTTAGGGTTTAGGGTTTAGGGTTTAGGGTTTGGGAGTGGGGTCGGGGCTGGCAGCTTTAAATCAACAAGACCACATTCGACTAGAAAGAGAGATAATGGCAGAAAACGACCACCCCTTCATCATTCGCCTGGGTAGGGTTTAGGGTTTAGGGTTTAGGGTTTAGGGTTTAGGGTTTAGGGTTTGGGAGTGGGGTCGGGGCTGGCAGCTTAAAGTCAACAAGACCACATTCGACTAGAAAGAGAGATAATGGCAGAAAACGACCACCCCTTCATCATTCGCCTGGGTAGGGTTTAGGGTTTAGGGTTTAGGGTTTAGGGTTTAGGGTTTAGGGTTTGGGAGTGGGGTCGGGGCTGGCAGCTTTAAATCAACAAGACCACATTCGACTAGAAAGAGAGATAATGGCAGAAAACGACCACCCCTTCATCATTCGCCTGGGTAGGGTTTAGGGTTTAGGGTTTAGGGTTTAGGGTTTAGGGTTTAGGGTTTGGGAGTGGGGTCGGGGCTGGCAGCTTTAAATCAACAAGACCACATTCGACTAGAAAGAGAGATAATGGCAGAAAACGACCACCCCTTCATCATTCGCCTGGGTAGGGTTTAGGGTTTAGGGTTTAGGGTTTAGGGTTTAGGGTTTAGGGTTTGGGAGTGGGGTCGGGGCTGGCAGCTTTAAATCAACAAGAC